ATGCGGGACTCGATCCAGGGACTCCAGGATCATGACCTGAGCCGAAGGCAGTCGCTTAACCAACTGAGCCACCCAGGCGCCCTCTTCTTGGTTTTTGAATGAAGGAAGGAATGTCCCTCTGACTGATCTGAGCCAGAGAAGGACAAGGCCATTGCACGTTACCTGTAGGAATGTCTAGATTCCAGCTCTTGGTACTGAGGGGAAGGGCAGTTCTTGTAATACTCACACTTGTCCATGGGGCAGGCCCATAGTGCTCTCAGGTCATCTTCCCACAGCTGTAAGACACAAACAAAACCAAGGCCACAGCCCCAGAACACCCACCAAGTTCTGGCCAGCCTGATCTCCAAATTCCCAGCCTCAACTATGCATACTTCACACACATACACACACACACACTGTAGGTCCCTGCAAGCTGCTCTGCCTTTGATCACGCTATGCCTACTCCATGCCAGATCTGGCCCATGTGAAATCACCCTTCCTTGAAGCTCTCCCTGGAACCCAATACTTAGCACATATGAATTTGGTTATCTGTTTACTGTTTTCTAGCCAGCAGTGAACAACTTGGGAACAGGAACTATGCTTCTTCAATTCTTGGCTTCCCCAGGGCTGGACACAAAATAAGCAGAAATAGATGGTGAGTGGGTACTAGAGGGACAGTGAGGAGGCCCCTGCCTAGGAATAGTGAGAGTTTCCCTGGTACCTTCAGCTAGGCACAGGAAGAGATGGAAGAAGTTAAATACAGAGTTTTAGGCCTATTGGCCCTGGGCATTGGGGCAGGGCCCTCCTGCCACCTACTCACCTGCAGACACTGGCCTGACTGCAGGTCTTGTAGTAACTGCTCTCCAAGGCGAGCGGCCCTCTGCCAAGCCAAAGGGAGGCTGTCACCTAGGGGCACCACACTTAGGAGACCATCAAGCTGCAGCTGAGCAGAATAGTGGTGGGGAGGGGCTAGAGACTTGTAAGAGGTCACTAAGAACGGGGTCTAGGTCTGAGTCACCCCCACATTCCCAGAGACCAGCACAGGGTCTGGCACAGAGGAGGGGAAATTTGAGGCCAGGCTTGAGATGGAACTGGAAGGGTACATGGAGGAGGGTCCCCTCATCCTCACCGTGGAGGCCCTGCTGAGTAGTGGGGTGCAGCCACTGGGCTCCAAGGCACAGAGTGATCTGTTGTCCTGGGGGCCTCGTGTCTCTACCAGCAGCATATCATCCTTGAGGGCCCCAAGGGAGTCTGGAGGGGTGAGAGCCCATTCTGAGTGAGACCCAACTATGCTGGAGGCGGCCACTTGCCCCCACCCCTTCCCATGCCTGACCTTCACCCCCATGAGGTGGCTCTTCTAGGGTCCACCTCTATTGCAATAGCCCTGCCCCAGCCTTCCCCAGGCTTCACTCACCAGCCCACAAGCACTCCTGTAGCTGCAGCTTCTCCCAGCTGCTCACCTGCTTAGAAGGAGCCAAGGTTAGGGGCACAGGGAAAAGCAAGAGGCAAGGCCACAAAGAAGAGAAGAGAAGGACAGTAAGGGGAGGCCTCTCTGGCGGGGGGTGGGGGGTGGGCGCGGGGTTCTGCATCCTGGACCTAATGTTAGGCAGATCAGGGTTCAAGGCTAGGTGATTAAGAGATACTTTGTTTTTCTCAGCCTCAGCCTTGTGAGGGCATCTGTGCTAATGAGTCTTATGACCCTACATTAGCTCTTTTCATGTCTGGCAAAGCACTTCCTACACTCCTTTCTCATCTAACCACCCTCACCAAGAGGCCTCATCTGACCACTCCACTTGGATACTGTATTATTCACTCAGTCTGAGTCTTGCTCCACTATTTTCTTTTTAAGATTTTATTTATTTGTCAGAGAGAGAGAGCACAAACAGGGGGAGTGGCAGGCAGAGGGAGAAGCAGGCTCCTCCGCTGAGCAGGGAGCCCAATGCAGGACTCGATCCCAGGACCCTGGGATCGTGACCTGAGCCGAAGGCAGACGCTCAAACAACTGAGTCACCCAGGCCCCCCTGTCTTTCTCCATTAGAACATAAGCTCTATAGGGTGGGAATATTTATTGGTTTTATTCACTACTGTGAAGTAGTTACTATCATCCCCATTAAACAGATGAGGAGACTGATGTTCAGAGTGGTGAAGTGACTTGCTCAGGGTCCCACAGCACTGCTAAATAAATAGTACAACTCCCAGAGGTAGCCCATAACAACTTTGCTCCAGTGACCCAAGGATAAATTGGGTCCAGAAGACAGTGATTTATCTGGGGGGGTCCACTTGGGGTCCTGCCCCTAGCCCAGAGCTCTTGTGCCCCTTCTTACCTGGACACAGAGGTTGGGGTGGGCATTCAGCAATGGCAACTCAAGTGTTTTCTGTGGAAAAAAGGGTCATGGGTGAGGTCAGGAAATGTGCTCCCCTGAGCTCCCCTTCCTTTCCTGATCCCAGGAGCCTCCCACCGCTTCACTTACGTTTACAGTGACATTTGCTCGGGACAGCGGTGGGACCAGCGACTGGCAGGGGCCGCCGCCTGGTGCCTGCCAACACAGAGTGGCCTCAGCAAGCAGTGAACAGGGTGCATTTAGCTGCCAGCCCCGGGGGGGCAGTAGCCTCAGCCGGGCTGCACGCCAGAGGTTCCTGTGTGCCCGGGGATCTGCAAGGAAAGGGCTGGGTCACTGGGCGCCCAGCATGTGTCCACCTACACCATTCCCACCCTGGCCCCAGCCCTGGTCTTCTCACCCTCCCTAAAGGGGCAGAGGCTCGTCCTGACAGAGTCGGGCTCTAGAGGCCACACCTGGAAAAGAAACAGGGTTCTATTAGTCCATTCAACCCAGCTGACCCTCCAAGAGTATGTGCCAGGCCCTCTGCTAGGCACTGGGGATGCATTCATTCAACTAAAATTTAATCAACACTTGCCCAGTCTTTCTGCCCTTTGTAAAGCCCTAGAGTTGCACACATTTATTTTTCCAGCAAACCCTATACCAATATCTGGCAACACCTTCATTCAACAGACCTTTAATGAGTACCTACTATGTGTCTAAGCACCATGGTAGGCAGTGGGGATGTTGATAAATCCACAGTCACTTTATGTGAACCTACTATATGCCAGGTACTGTGCTAAGTGTTTATATACATATATAAATATAGTAAACTATATATATATAGTAACCTATACCCGCTGTGTGGGGCTCGAACTCATGACCCTGAGATCAAGAGTCACATGCTCTATCAACTGAACCAGCCAGGCACCCCATTTCTTTCAATAAACTTTTAAAGCACATCTATTCTGTGCTTAGCCCTGTGGTAAGCAGTAGAGATAATACATTAATCTATTCAGCAAACTTTTAATTAAGACCACCTACTATGTGGCAGGCATTGTGCTTGGCAGTAGGGATGTTTATATCAGAGCAAACATTTCATGAACATCTGTTATGTGTTCTATCACAGTGCTAGTTAGTAGAGTTTCATTCATTCATTCATTCCTTTAACAGACTTAATTAGCACCCACTACATGCTAGACATTGTGCAAGTTTCTAGGGGAGTTACTAAATTTGAATTAGGTATTATTTCCTTGCCTTCGAGGAAATTACAAAGTTAGTAAGGATAAAACATGTATAAATTAATAAACTGATCACTCATTTATTGAGCATCTGTTGTGTGCAAGAAGAAATGAGACAGGTGCCCAAATAAGAAAGGAAGTGATAAATGAACAAGAAAAGACAGAAGTACAAGAAGATTGGAAGACAGGAGAGGCCAGACAGTTGAGGAAAAGCTTTGGGAAAGAGGTAACATTTGAGCTGGAAGGATTTAGTTGTATAGAAAAGAAGTGAGGGCATTTCAGGCAGTGGAAAGGACAGGCATTAATGTCAGAGATAAAATAGATGGGACCTGATCACCATTTAAATGTGCAATCAGAAGAGGAAAGACTGGTGCCTGGCTGGCTCAGTTGGTAGAACATGTGACTTCTGACCTCAAGGTTGTTAAGTTCTAGCCCCACATTGGCTGTAGAGATTACTTAAAAATAAAATCTTAAAAAAAAAAAAAAAAAGAAGAGGAAAGAGCCAACATATAGAAGCTTGGATACTTCCTTTTCTAACAGTCCTATGAGGCTGGTATTGTTATTTCCATTTTATAAATAAGAAACAGGCTCAGAGAGGTGAAGTGACTTGCACAAGATCACACAGTTAGCAAATGGCAAGAGTCAGGATTCAAACTGTCTGAGTTCACAGCACATGCTCTACTTTCCAGAAGAGTACAAAGAGGCAATTGGAGGATTAGGGGAAGCCTTCAAGGAGGAGGTGGCATTTGAATGGGGCCATGAAGAACAAGTAGGAGTCCTGTGGATAGAGGATCAGGAAGAGCATTCAGAGACTGCAACAGGCAGAAGACAGGACAGCAAAGGTCAGGAAAGGGCTAGTCACCTTAGGCAGCAACAGTTCCGACCTCAAAGAGGAATATGGAGGATGGCAAGACAAGGAGGGTAACGGCCACCCCATTCACCAATTCCCCAATCCCCTTCCCCTGGCACCTAGCTGGACTCTTCTCTTACCTGAATACAAAGGCAGGGAAACAGGTCTGTGTGGTTCAAAGTAATGTTCTGTGGCCCGGTCTGTGGGACAAACAGAAGGCGAGAAGTTGGAGAAGATGAGGAGCAGGAAGGCCGGAAGCCAAAGTTGAGGAAACCAGGCAGGCAGCAGTGCCGTCACCAAGGTTCCTTGCTTGGGGTGTGGGTCGCTATATCCTCCTCAAGGGTCCCCTCTGATAATGCGCTCGCATCCTTAGCATGGGCCTCAGCCTAGAGTGGGAATGGACTTGGGGAAGGGGAGGCCTCACCAGGTTGCTGTGCCACCAGGGTTTTGTAGGGCCCTGGACCTGGTTCCAGTACAGGGAGAGGCCAAAGTGCTGCTCCTCAGAGACGTCCAGCACCAGGTGCACATCATCGCCATCGGCAGACACACTGAGCCAGGGCAGGGCTGGGGGGAGGCAAAGACAGGGGGACTTCCTTCACCTCTTCTGCATACCCACCCCTGGCCATGCCCCTCCGACTGACCCTTTAGTTTCCTTCATATCCCTGAGACTGGAAGACCCCTGGAGGTGAGAGCCTGTGTCCTCATCTCTGACCAGACTTTGTCCCTAGCAGCCAGCCCAGTATCTTGACACAACTCTTCTCCTTCTGCAACCAGAAGGATCCTGTAACCACTGTAAGATATATCATCCTCCTCTGCTCAGAACCTTCTGATGACCCCCTACCAAATTACTCCCAGAGTAAAAGCCAGAGTCCTTACAATGGCTTGCGAGACCCTACCCACTCTAACCTCATTTCCTAGCACTCTTGTCCTTAATTAATCTGCCACAGACACGCTGCCCTCTTTGCTCATACTTAAACACACCAGATATACTCCTGCTTCAGGCCCTTTGCACTGGCTCTTCCCTCTGCATATGGAATGCTTTTCCCTCAGATACCCACAGGGCTCCTCCCATACCTCCTCAGGGGTTTGCTCACCAGAGGGAAGCCATCCCTGACTGCTGCAACCCCCAACTCCCTTATCCTCCTTCCTTTCCCCAAATCTTCTCCATCACACTAGTCACATCTTATTGCATAGTTTACACCTCCATGTGTTTATTGTGTCCTCCATCACCCCTATCCTGACTCTGACTCTCATCTAGAATGTCCTCTCTGTAAGGCAAGGATTTTTGTCGGTTTTGTTTATTGACTTATCTCCAGTGCCTAGGATTATTTCTTGGGCAGAGTAACTACTCAATAAATATCTGTTGAATAAGTGAATCAGTGTCTACTGAATGAATGAAGACATGAGATGCATGATGTGTATCTGTGTCCTCAAAGCTCTGGTGCTGAGTAGTCTCTAATGAATTACCAAAGAGGCAGGCCAAACTTAAGGAACCAAAAAGGAAATAAAATTGAAAAAATTTAAGAGTTTGGGGTGCCTGGGTGGCTCAGTTGGTTGGGCATCTGCCTTCGGCTGAGGTCATGATCCCAGGGTCCTGGGATCCAGTCCCACGTCAGGCTCCCTGTTCAGCGGGGAGCCTGCTTCTCCCTCTGCCTGCCGCTCCCCCTGCTTGTGCTCTCTCTCTCTCTGACAAATAAATAAAATCTTTAAAAAAAAATATTTAAGAGTTCAAAAACAACACTGCTTATATCTTGATTATATCTTGATAGTTACGCAAGTGTATACATATGTAAAAATTAACTGAGCTGGACTTTAAAAGTAGTGCACTTTACACACTTTTCTGTATGTGTATTATACCACAGTAAAAAAGAAAATACAACACGAAAAATGAACAAAGCTAAAATAAAATTCAAATAGTGCCTGGGAAAAATCATCAGAGCCTTGACTTGCCTAGCCCTTATTTTATGGTTTAATATTATTTTTATTTTGATATATAGTAGATAGTGGGGTATACCATAATCTTGACAATACTTTGGGCCTCTAGATGTCCCTGGTACTAGTAAATACATTTGTTATAAAGAGTGAGAGATTCACCTTCATATTCCCAACGCCTGGCACAGAGTAGGAGCTACTGCAGATGTGTGATGAATTAATGAGCGCTATGAGCATCTGGATTGTGGCAAGCCCAGACCTGAAGCCACCTCCAAGGGTCCCTCACACTCCAGACCCTGCCCCTCCCTCCTTCCAGCCCTACTGGCCATAGCCCCTACCCCAGCAGCTCTGGACGCTGTCCCGGACTTCAAGCCCCTTGCAGTCTGAGGAGAGATCACAGAAAAGCCTCCAGTGGGGCTGGGGGCCAAAGAAAGAAGGGGGGCAATCCAACCCATGGGGAGCACTGGGAGGGGCTCCTTGTCCCTTAAATACCACCCCATCTATCTAGTGCCCAAAGCACCTTCCTCAGGCATTGGGAAGCAATATCACCTGGGGAGAAGAGACAGAGGAACAGATTCTGGGGGAGATGGGAGCTCAGACCCCTGCCTATGAGTGGATGGGACTAGGAAGGGGGTGAAAGCAGAATGGCAGTGGCCAGAGGAGAAAGAGACTGGTGGGGAGGGGCAGGACTTGGGGCCCCTGAGGCTCTGGGGCCACTTACCAGGCAACTGTTGTGTGAGGTTGAGTTCCTTCTGGTACCTGGGCTGAGTGTAGGACCAGAGTCGCACCTCAGCCCCCAGAGCAGCCTCGAAGCAGTCAAATACTACAGAACCCTGTGAGGAAAGGAGTGGCGGAAGGCTGGTGGTATAGGGCTCAGAATACGGGCCAAGGGCTCTGAGCTTCTCTGTGGACAACTCCACTCACCTCCTCCCCCAACCAATGACTCTATACTGTAAGGCCCGAAATTCTCCCACTAGTGTTTCCTTTAAAAGCCCCCAGCTCTAAAGCACACACCCTCAGTAGGGGTATCAGCTGGGCAGGGATAAGGGCCGTAGCTATCGGAGTCCCTGTCCCCACCCTTGTTGTCCCACATCACGTGGCCAAAGCTAAGGTGATCAGATACCCCAACACAAATGTGGGACACCCCTTCCCACACCCAATGCCTCAGTGGTCCTCACAACTACCCTTTGAGGTGGACCAGCAGATTTTTCTCCCATTCTACAATTTTCCAGGCAAGAGGAGATTGGCTGGGAGCTGGGGGCAGGAGGGGAAGTCAAAGGGTTTGAGTGATTTGGCCCAAGTGGAGCTACATCTTCCAAACACATGTGGCCTCCTGAAGTAGGGAGAAGCCCCAACACCCCGCACCACGGTCAACACACAGGGCAGACATGGTATAGCAGGAAGTCCAGAGAAGTGGATCCAGCCCACAGCCTTCCCCTCTCCAACCTCAGTTTCTCTCTCTGGAAAATGAGGGTAATAATAATGCCTAGTTCATGTGTACCTCTGACGATTACAAAAGAAAGGGAGAATGAAATCTCCTGAGACCCTTCAGTGCCGGGCATTACATCAGCTGTTTTACACATACCAACTCATCTTTTCCTCACAACAGCCATATGAGGTAGGATTATTTTTATTCCCGTTTTACAGACAGGAAAACAGAGGCGGAAAGGGCGGAAAGGGCTTGCCTACAGCCCTGCCAGAGTCAGCACACAGACATAACACGCACACGAGAGCACTTCAGGACGTCATACTTAGAAAACGGCTACTGCTACGATTATTATTTCGCATACCACAGACTGACCAGGCCGCGCGAGGGCAGCACGCACTTGCACCTCCAGCAGGACGCAGCGGGCAGTGGGGTAGGCCTGGAAGGAGAGCACCACTTGGGCCTGGAGAAAGGCTGTGAGCAACAGGGCGGGGCACTGGTCAGGCTCCAGGGCCGCAGGCAAGGCCCTGGCTTGGGGCAGTTGGGCCAGCCGGGTTCTCCTCACCGTTCCTAGGCTCCTCAAGCTCTGGATCAGCTGCTATTCCAAACTTGTCCTCATCTTTAGGCTCTTCCCAGTGCCCTAGAAGGACCCGAGAACAAGGCCCAGGTCAGGCCCCAGCTCTGGGCCGGCTTTGGGCTTGGCTTCCTTCCTGAAATCCCAGTGCTGAGAAGCAGGGGCCAGGCCTGGGGCCTTGGGGTGGGGGTGGGGGGAGACAGGGAGACCAGGCTGACCTGGGGGTCCTTTGGCCGGTGTTCTCCAGGAGAACACTGAGGATGCACAGGACCGCCTGACAGATTCCCCAGTCCTTGTGCCCATCCCAGACACGCTGACATGTGCACATACAGTTAGGGGATGACCTGCTCACCATGCACAGCCAAGTGGATGGCCACACGCACGCAGAGGTCACAGTCAGTCTCCTGGTGGCACCTCAGCACCAGCTCTGTCTGCAGGCGCGTGGGCACCAGCACAGGGCCCGGGGCAGACACGATGCTCCCAGGCAGGCAGAGCACGTCACCATCTGTGCACGAAGGGTGGGGTGGGAGCTGAAGCTGTTCATCATCCAGAGGTTAGTTGCACCTGACACCCCCAGAGGGCCAAGGAGCTTTGGGCTCTTTCCTGGGCTGAGGGTGGGTGGTGGGGGCAGAGAACTGGAACATCTCCCCTCCCTCCGCCAACCTGGGCAGTTCTTTCCTTTCCAAAAGTACGGCTACTCACCCCAGAGGTGGCAGGAAAGGCCCTGGGAAGGAGGTAAAGACGAGTCAAGAGTTTATGCCACTGAATCTAGGCATTTTTTCCCTGCCTCGTATACCTGCCCACCCTTCTGGGGCTCCCCATTCAAGCCCCTCCCAGGAGAGGACAAATCCAGCTCTTGCCCCCTCCCCATTCTTCTCTTATCCCATCAGCACCAGACAGACCAGCCAGGGCAGTTCTGGTGGTAGTGACAGTGACAGGAGCCAGGCTAGGGCCTCCGATAGGCAGCAGACTGAACCCTGAGCTGTCCCCAACCCTCCCAGTACCCCAGACTTACTGGAGAGCAGCGGGCAGTGTCCTGAGGCCCCATAAGCTTCTCCAAAGAGAGGACCATGGGGCTTCGGCCCAGTGCCAAGGACAACAGGAACCAAGGCACAGGCATCTTCCAGGTACCAGGAGGCACCAAGGCCCAAGGCCCTGTCCTGCCCCCCCCAAAGGGGGGGGCAGACACGGTACCTCTGCTCCCACTCAGCCCCAAGCCTGTGGGCACGAGGGGCCGGAATCCCTCTTCAGCCTGGGGTCCCAGTGCGGGCTTGAGCACCCCCTCTCCCGGGAGTCCTGAATCCTGTCCCCGTCCAGCCGGAGTGCTTTCGGTTTGGCTCCCGGCAGGCAGCTGGCTGTTCCCGCCCCGCCCTGTCCCTCCCACCAACACCAGGCCTGGGAGCCAGCAGCCTTGGACTGGGGTGGTGGCCTCCTCTCCTTTCCCTCTCCTCCTCCTCCTTCTCCGCTGACACCTGGCTGGGAGGGGCCCCTGAAGAGGGTGGCGGCATCACAGCTGAGTGAGGGAGCTCTTACTCACCTTGGGAGTCCCTAAGGAAGAGGGCCTGGGCAATGCTGGGGCATTTCCACTGCCACCGTGAATCCGGGATTTTGGTGCCCATTAGGTTCCCTCATACAGGGCACCCCCGGTCCCTTCACACATCTGCCCTGGGACTCAGTGACCCTTTATGGGACAGGAGCTCTAAAGGCAGGGACAAAGGGTATCAGAAAGTGGGCTTTTCACCACTTCCTGGCCTCTGCTCAAGTGTGGTAGGGAGGGAAGGAACTCAGGACTCAGAGCCAGGCAGACAGGGGTCCCATTTGTGCTGTTGCCATGGGCTGGCTGCATGACAAATGGACCTTTCTGAACCTGTTCACAGTGAGGATCAAGATTTCCAGGTCCTCCTTTGCCTTTTCAGAGGCTTTGCTTGTGAGAATGTGAAGGATGTGGTTGTGGGTGTGGACATGGAAGACTGGAGCCCACAAACAGAGGCATAACAATCCCCAGGCAGGGCTGTGCTGACCCCTCCTGCAACTCAGTACCCTGGGCACCCTAGAGAAGCACACCGTGTCTCTTAGCTTATCCATTATGTTGGCCTTTATTCATTTTTCTTGATCTTGGTTTCTACTGTCCCACCTCCGCCCTGGACACCCAGGGCCAAAACCTCTTTACCTGGGTCAGGCTCCCTCCCTCCCTCCATCCCCTGGGCAGGGCTCCAGTCCGGAAAAGCAGTATCCCTGCCCCGCCCCCCACCAAAGGGGTTTTCTCCCCTCCCCCCCTCCCCCCACTGGAGTTACGCCTCACTCAGAATGGCCATCGCTCCGGCCTCCCCTACCTCTGTCCCACACCTCTCTAGCTTGGACTGGAGCATGTGCAGACTACTCTTCCTGGAATTTTGAAGAAAAGAAGTGGGAAGATTCCCCCACCCCCAAGAGAACTGGGAGCTGTGGAGCCCTCAGTAAACAGCGACTCTCCCTGCTGGTTCCGGAAGGGTAAACAGGAGGAAGAAGCCAGACACGTAGGGAAGGGTCTGGGACAGCGAGGGAGGTGCTCTGCTCCCAGGCTAGCAGACAGAGCATAAGGATTTTTGGCCAGTAGTCCTGAGGAGGCACCCCAAGGATTCTAGGGTAGAAGGCTCATTCAGGGGATCCAGCCAGTACCCCTACGCCTGCCTCTGCTCAGCCTCGGTGGGCAAAATTTGGCGGCCTCGCGTTCCAGCCGGTGGCACAGCTCCAGGCGACCCCGCAGGCAAGGCCGATCCCCGAGGCGGCCTCGGCTGGTGGCTTCGGCGGAAGGCCGTGCGTCTAGCGCCCGCAGCAGGCGTGGCAGGTCGCGCAGCAGGCGGTAGCGGGGCAGGGCGCGCAGTGGCGGGGGAATGTCGCCCTTGGCACAGAGGCGACTGAAGTAAGCCAGCAGTAGCAGGGGGCGCGGGGCGGCGCGGAGCAGGGCGCGCAGGGGCGCCGAGTGGGGATCCCGGGCGCGGGCTGGACTGGGGCCGGCACTGCTCCACAGAAGCAGCACGGTGCCCC